TTGGCTTCGCGTGAACCATTTCCTTTCAAGACCTGTTACCTGTTCTGTCGGGAGTATGTGACAAGAGAATCGCAATTTGCGCTGATGGGCGTCGCGGGACGTCGCGCTCAAAAATGATAATCAGAGGGCGTAGATGGTGACAACAGGCAGTATAGAACAGAGGGTAGCAATGTTTTTAGTTTTTAAGTCCAGAACGAGTCTGGTGCTACAGTCAACAAGCTCGTACTCGTTAAAAGAACGCCGTGCCTATCGCCGCGCGCGCGGAGCGGCAAGCGACGAATCTCTTGCCCGTCTCCCGACGAAGCATAACCGTCGAACACTGATTTCACTGTCCCATATCTCCTCTTGAGACTGTGTCTCAAGACTGAGAGGATTCAGGAATTGACTTTCATAGCACCTCGCTTGAGAGTTGCTTCTACTTCCAGTTTTTTGTTGTGAGTGTGACAAAAATATAACCGATGTAGCAGAGGAAAAAGAATGAAGGTTGTGTAGTTGTGAGGTTGTTGCTGCTCATCAAGCGGTATCGGAACAGGACACATATTTAGCTTGCGATTTTGGTCGGGTCCGTACGTACGACCCCCTCCTCTAAAGGTGGTTTGATAAGACCCTTCCCCTCCCCTACTTCTCTCCTCTGATACGATCGAGCTGTCCAGCGAGGGGGTGGATCTCCCAACAACGAGCAAATGCGACCCCCCCCCTATGGCGTCCGAGAAACAAGGAAAAATCAACTATAGAAAATATTCCTCAGACTAAAAACCACGTCCTCCTCCAGCGCCAAATGCTACCCCATGTTACAGAATCCACAACGATGATGTCCGGAATCTGACTGCTCTGTCCAGCTGTCAAATCCCGGACGGATTTAACTGTCCTGTCCAACAGTCAATGATAGGGGCTGATAAGGGACGTTGCCGTTGTTGTTTAGTCTTTATACCACTAAATTGTAGAATTTAGTGATAGGGACATTGATGACGGGTGACAGGCAATCTTATCAATTGATAAGAAAGGATAAGGGCCATTCTCATTACATCTCTTATCACTATACTGCCAAGTATTGAAGGCTCAGTGTGCAAACTTTTCCTTCAGCCATCACTTCTCTGATAGCACTAGAAAATGAACATCTATCCTACTATATAATGTCGATGTCGACGAGCGGGGGGGGGGGGGTATGTAGTTCGCCTGAAACAGGAAACTCCAGGGAGAACAGAAAACCTGAATAATGCGGCGCTTCATGCGTTCAACAGCTCTTTTTACTTTTGACCATTCAATTACAGATGAGAACGAATAACAAGGGAGTATAGTACCTACTAATAATTATACTTCAGCGAGCGGGTC